CTAGAATGATCTATGGAGCCTCTTTCTTTACTCTACTTTCCACAGTCATGGCATCCTGAGCACACCAGCTCACTTAAAACTATAAAAGAAAGCTCCACCGTGCACACTGACAGGCCAGTTCTACCCTTAAATCTGTGTATATGAGACTGTTGTCTGCTTGTTTTGCTCATGATGTGTTTTCCAGCAGATAAAATAAACCATGTGAACACGTTAACGAGGCAAAAAAAACGTGATCTTCTCTGGGCGGAGTCTGTAAATGACTAGAACGTGGTTTATGTTGGTGTCGAGGTCTCTGAGTGTTCAGGATTTTGTTCAGCCAGTGGTGTGTTAAGATATTCGATGCAGATTAAATTAGATAATTAAACTTGCACCTCTTCCAGTTCATTTCGTGTCTCGGTGTCTCTCTCGGGTCCTTTCGGGGTCTCAGGATGCTTCACTGTTTTCCAGGTTTTTGAAGCTCCTCCACCTCCTGAAGCTTCTGTTTGTCTGCCTTTGTCTGTCCTCTGTCGCAGCCTCCTCGGATGATGTAATCCTTTCCTGTTTTTAATAACCTTTTCCAGGCACCTGTATTAATCTGTATGCATAAAGGGGAGCTTTTAAATTCACAAAACTCTCATTTTCTTTGGCCTCTGCCGCTGCTTGGCTCACGCTCTCCCTGTCCTCCTCTGTTCTCTGCTCGTGCTCCGTCTCACCTCTGGAAATTAAAAGTGCTTTTGCTTTTTTTTTTTTTTTTTGGCACAAAAGCGGGAACTCGCCGAAGCATCAACGGCATTTCAAGCGATCGACTCTGATAACCGGATCTCCCTGTTTGTGTCTCAGGGTCCAACTCGTGGCAGGTGGTGTCGGCCGGCGGCGGCGTGGTCCAGGGAGGCTACGGCCACAGCAGCGCCTTCGACGAGGTCAGCGGCTGCGTGTTCGTCCACGGAGGCTACAAGGCTCTGAGCAACAACAAGTACGGCCTGGTGGACCACATGTACCGCTACCACGTCCACACCAAGACATGGTGAGAGCACACACCTGACACACCTGCAGGTTCTCTGCTAGCAGCTTGGTGCTACACAGATGCTAAAGTCCTGCAGACACACCTGATGTCCTGACCGGCTGATCTGGTGCAGGGCGGCTGTTGAGTAGACGTCTTGTTCTAAACGCCTTGAACGATGAAGGAAAGATGTGAAGGAGAATTAATAGGAAAACACTAAAACTGTGTCTGAAATCAGTCCCTCCTCCTCCTCATCTAGAAACTACTATGTGGTAAAAAAAAAACACTTCAAGACACGAGTCGAGTCTCAATCATCAGATCAGTTCCAGCTCTAGTCGTGAACCCACAGATATTTTAATGATAAATTCATATTACAAAAATAACGTCTGACGCATCACTTCCATTAAACACATTAATACCAGCTAGTATTTAAAATTTGAATGTTTTTGTGCCGTAACTCCTCGATTGGTCTCCAAGATACACACATGGAAAACATGTTCTGTAGAAAATACATCCTGACGCTATAAAATATGTCTGAACACGATGAAACTACCATCAGAAATCTGTTTAGATGTCACCAGTTGTCACCGATTAATTCTCTCGTCTGCCTTTTATCGTCCTTTAACGCAATGCATGATGGGACGTGTTACTTGTTGGAGACCGCCATGGTGCATTGTGGGAAACTTTAAGTGACTAAATAAGATGAAAAAGCTGTAATTTAAGATTCTAACAGCACTACAAAATGACAGACACACTCTCTATATATAAAACTTATGCTGGTTGGATTGTGGGACATTCTGTCTTTTTTATTTATAAGGAGGGAGCAGACATCCTGCGCTGAAGGAGAGAAGATAGGAAGCCCTGACACATCTCTCTTTAGCGTTTACCACCAATGCAGGAGCTGAATTTACGTGACTGTTTTCCCTCCCAGTTTCTTCTAAAACACGCCTTGAAGATAACTCCAGCGTGCACCACGATGCTCGTATTTTTAACAAATAAACGACAGAAGGAATTATTTGCAGCTCCTGATTACCTGCAAGTTTGAAAGGCAACTTATTTTGAAATAAATCACCAGAACGACTCCGTTTATCACAGCCAGAAACTGTAAGGACTGAAAGAATAATTAGATTTTCTCTGTTCTGTGGAGAAAATTTCATCAAAATCACTTTATTGGACGATTAAGATTAAATTGATTGCTCGTAACAGATTCTGCAAATAACTGCTCTGCACAGCGGAGAAGTCGTGAGTGACTCGGCTGTGACAGAGTCGACACGAGACGGCATGAAAACAGATATAGAATGTAAATAATAAAATATGTGCAGGATGTAGAGTCACAGTTTTATTTTCTAAATATTGGTAAAACTGGAGAAAATGCTCATTTGTAAAAACATACAGCTTTTATTAACTTCTGTCTGATTCTAAGCTCAGATTCTGTGAACTTTCTGGACAGAACCTGAACCCAGGATGGACTTTTAGCTCATTTTGGTCGTTAAATCCACTAAAAGCACGTGTTGCTCTCGGTGTTGATAGAGAGAGGAATCATTTAGTTCTTTCTGCAGCTTTGAGCGGCAGCTGCTTCCATTTCCACCGACTCTCTTCCTTTCTGTCGCCGTTTAGCTCGTTTGAACTCCTCTACATTTCTCTGACAGCTGACGTTATTAGCATCTCTTTAGGTTTTACATTCGCCATCAGATCATTACAGTATTACTTCCACGCTGCTGCTTCTTTAGACGCGATTAAAATCACTTTTCCAGCCGCTGGACGACTCATCTGGACCAGTTTCAGGCTGTTTTGATGATTTCACGACAGATTTCTTTTGACGCATTAACAGCTGCTGCGTCATAACGCTTCGATAAAAACCTCCTGAGAGCAACAAGTCTTCACAGCGACTACTTTTACTTTTGTCTTGAGTAAATATTGACGCTGAAATCCTTTAATTTACTGAGTTGTTTACTTAAACTGAGCGACGGCATTTAAATGAACCTGTAATTATAAAAGTAATGATAATTATTCTGTTATTACCGTGGTACAGATTCAACCTGACAGAAAATACAGCAGCATAACTTTGGTTTCCTGCCCCAGTAGATGCTCCAGACTGAAGAAGTATTGTGCCTTTATATAAATATGTATGTAACTCTGTGTGGGTGAAGAGAAAGCAGCGTGTGGTGGTCAGAAACAGGAGAGCAGGGTGAGAATAGAAAGCTCTGACAGGAGGCTTGACCTCTGCTGACCCCAGACAGATGGATGGCTGTAAGAGGATGCTCAGCTCCACCCGTTTTCACTCCGTATACGTTCACATGCGTGTGCACTCGTCGGTATGCACACGCTAACAAATGTGCACACGCAACCCGCTGCCTCTCCACGGCTCTCGCTTTCCAGCTGGAATTCACAGCCGGAGTCGGGTGTCACTCGAGCTGTTGGACTTTGGAAAATTCTCCGAGCAAAATGCTTCTGGTTACTTTATACGGCTCCGCACTGATATTAAGATCTCCGCTCATCTGTCAGCAGAAAGCTGGTGAAAAGTATACCCCGGTATGATAAAGCTGTGTACACGGCATCTATATGTTGGTGGTTTCCAGCTGCGTCAGTGTCAGGATCTACGGATTTGTTTAGCCTTTAAGTCCCGTCGCACACACCGGCCGAGTCGTAGCTCACGTCAGCTGCACGTGGAGCTCTGCAGCAGTAAATATGTAGTTCAGAGGTGGAACTTTGCTGCACTTAAAAAGAGTGTTTTATCAGTTTAGAAAGATAAAAATCAAAATTAGATCTGTTTTCTTTGTGCTTTAGTATCAAGGCTGCAGTTTTAGAGTTTGCAGCTTGCTCCACATCAGTGGTTTACATTCAGAACTCTGTGGAGTCCAGTAAATTCATCAAAACACCCAAAATACAGCAGTGCAAAGCAATTAAGCACATTTAGTCAAGTGCAGCACTGACCCTACTTTATCCTTCCACTCAAACCTTTAAAAAAAACAAAACAAACTCAAACACTAAAGCAGTGGTTTCCAGTCTTTGGAGCTTCTTCATATGTATTAGACTCACATTCATACGTCTGAGTTGTATTTCTCGCCAATAATGACCTGTTTTTTTTTCTCTCTCTAAACTCTTGTTTCATTTCAATAAATGATCCAATATTGCAGCAAAAATCAAAGATCAGAGACAAAGACCAGATGACAGATTTGTGTGTCAGAACTTTGTTTTTTCTCCCATCAATCATGTGACAACCCGTCACATTTATCTGCTGCTCCTGTAGATTAAACTGGATGTAAAGTGTTTTAAAGCTGCAGCAGCTCCAGCAGTAACACGCCGACGCTTCAGTGTTAATAAACCAATGACGCCATGTTTAGGGACTGAACTCGTGCTCTTACTTAAATGCTTTAAATATATTTTGCTGTTGTGTACTTTTAATTAAGTAAACAATCTTAATACTTCTTTCACCACCGTGAGACGAGAGATGAAGCACACAAAGCTAATAAAAGTAGAAATATAAAGACAAATAAATAAAATATTTTTCAATTTTTTTAAAATTAATTATTTTTTTTAATTGTTGTATTTTTTAATTTTAATCAATTTAGTTGTTTTTTAAATAAAAATAAAATTAACTAAAAATTTTTTTTTAAAAATTGTTTTATTTATTTGTCTTTATATTACTACTTTTGTTATCCTTTTCTTTTATGGATTAATGTTTTTATTAATATTGCTTTATATTGCCACAATATTTATTATTTATTTTATTTATTCTTCTTTTTATTTCCACTTTTATTCTATTTTATTATGCTTTTACTGATTTATTTTTATAACCGGGCCCTCTCACTGCTCCATAGAGATGTTAGCTTCGCGCTACGAAATGCAGCAACAACAAACCCATCGGATGCTGAAAACCAATCAGGAAGAGACGATGAGTTCTGTTTCAAGAAAAAAGAATTCAACCAATGTTGGTTTTTGTAAACGATAACGTGTCAGAATGAGACGGATCTCTAACTCTGCTCATCTCCACATTTCGAGCATGTTCACATAGTCTTCACAGGATAACTCTGCTGCTCACATGTGTTTAAAGTCTCACTGAAAGAGCCGATGAAGGCAGAATGAGATAAGATAAGATGAGCCTTTTTAATCCCACAGTGGGGAGTTTTGCTTTTTTACAGCAGAAAGGAATCGTGGCAACTTTTAAGGAATATCAGCTGAGAAATAAAAAATAAACCTAAATATAGTGGTTCTAGTTCTAGAAATAACAGTATGACACATATCAGAGTCAGAAACACTGAAAGAACAGATTTTTTCCATCTATTTTGAACAGATTTGTCCTGAAGCAGATCAAAAGATTGCACATGAAACACAGATATTCATAATTCACAGCTGTGGATGTGATGCACTGAGCAGCATCAGCGCCGTGTGTGAACTCAGGCTGGCTGCAGTAAACCAAGGAGCCACAGTTGGCCTCCGCTATGAGACCTCTGACCTCCAGGAGGTCACGCAGAGCAGACCCAGACCTCCAACAACGCTGCTGTCTTTGTGCGCGATGCAGGAACAGTTGGTATGAAGGTCGGTCACCGCGGGCCGGGTCACGTGCTCAGACGGACGCCATCCATAACACGTCGTCATGGACACACACACACAAACCCACGTAGCTGACAGATCAGCGCTTTCCTGATGTCGCTCACAGCGCTGACTCGTCTTCTCTTCAGGCTGATCCTCAGGGAGAGCGGCTTGGCGCGGTACCTCCACTCGGCGGTGCTGCTGAGCGGCACGCTGCTGGTCTTCGGGGGAAACACCCACAACGACACGTCGCTGAGCAACGGAGCCAAGTGTTTCTCTGCCGACTTCCTGGCGTACGACATCGGTAAGTCTTAAATACACACTTCTTTTTGACTCTGGCTGGACGTTTGGAGCACGTTTAGGTGAAAAAAAACTGCAGTTTCTCAAATGTCCACTTGAGGCTGGATCCAAGGGCGAGTCAGTCCCCATAGACCTCCATGTTAAAATGTCCAACTTCACAGCAGAAATAAACACATTCAGGTCCTGGTATGAGGATCAGCTTTTGGTCTCTACAGCTAATGTCACCGTCCATGACACGTTTTGATGTAACCCAACTATTTTAGTTGTATTCAGACCTAAAGTTTTGTATATTAGAGGGTGTTGGACAACCAAAACTGACTTTTTTTTTTTGCACTTTTCTCAAAATTTGCCAGTTTTCCAGCTGACGTCTGAATTCTCAACAGTACATTTGAATCCCCATATTGTTCAGTGGCTGCTGTGGCTCAGGTGGTAGAGCGGGTTGTCCTCTAATCGCCATGTTGGCGGTTTGATCCCCTCCACAGTCGAAGTGTCTTTGGGCAAGACACTGAACATGAAAGTTGCTCCCAATGGCAGGCAGGAAGCTCTGCCGCCATTGCTGTATGAATGTGATCTACTCTCACATGTACGTCGCTTTCAATAAATTAAATTGTAAATTGTAATTGCACTGCCAAATCGTACCACGGCACACCAACACGAGGCTGCACCCTGCGTTGATCTTCTTATACCATCATGCATTGCTGCCAGGTTCTTTGCTCTCAGTAGAAGAAGCGTAGATGCTAACATTAGCTGCTAGCGATTTTCTTACTTGTTCAGAGCGAGTGGTGAGAATAATGTTCATTAGACATCAGTCGTGGCTTGTTTTGCCCTCTGAGCAGCAGGACTTCAACAGTTATTATTAAAAGCATGTTTAAGCTGCTCAGTCACAACTGTACATATGCTGCTGGTGCAGTGGCGTCGCTGCTGCTTTAGAAACAAACATTTGAAGGTGTTGATAATTCACAAATAACATCTTGCAGATTAGTGTCGGTGGAAACGGTGCAGCCGAAGCTGTTCGTAGATGAAGTCACTTGTGCACAGATTCACGACATAAAGTTTAACCTCCATGTTGTAGAGAGACAAGAGAGACAGCATGTATTTATGCAGAGCTATCATCACTGTGGTTCACATGGTCTCAGATGTGATGCAGATGTTTGCTTATGCAACAGAGATAGTTATAAATAACCGAATTACGCAGCAGCTTTACATCCAAGTCGTATCCAAGATGTCTGCCCCGTTGTTAATCGTCCATCCGACCAACTTACCCAAACTGAGCTCCTGTTGCTATTAAAAGAGCCTCGTGCCTCTTTTTAAAGTTGCCGACTTGTCACCTCCATCCAACCCTGATGTGTTTTAATTGACTGAAAGTGACGCCAGATCCTCTGAGTTTTTCTGATCTTGTGGCTCCTGTGATGATGTGATGGGAGTCAAATGTGTGACTGGAGAAAGTTTTCAAAGCTTTGCTCTGAAGCTGAGACACCGAGGCAGTTTCTTTAAAGATGTCCTGTCCTCAGTGCTGATCTGATACCAGTCACCGTGTTTTCTATTCTACTGATTATAAACGAGGATCTGTCTCATACATGTTCTATCCTCAGACTTTATATAGACTTTGTATGTTCTCATTAGTCATCCAGCGTCTCAGAGAAACACACATGTGCATACAAATGCTGTTTTTACAACTAATGTCTGATGTGACTCAGATATGTGCAGCTAATGAAACACCCTAAATAGTACACGCTGTATGAAAGAGAGAGCACAGAGCTCACTGTACTGTAACAGAGCCAAAAATAAATACTACATATTCTTACGGAGACTGTGAGAGAGAAAGCAGGAGTGTGTTGGGGTGCAGATCCTGCAGCACAGCCACAGAGTATGGATGATTAAGGATCCCATTAGCCGGTCGCACCATAGACCAGATGGCACGAGGATGTTTCCACCCCTTGACAGGGACGGAGGAGTGGAAGGAAGAAGGGAGCTCTGGGAGAGTGAAAGAGGGATTATACCAACTCTTCACAGGAGGCAAACAACAGGGAGCAGAGAGATTAGCATGCAGAAGGAGGGAAAGGATGCACAGAGAAAGATGTATGGATGCATGAGAAGGTGGCGCCTGGTGCAGAGTGACGGAGACGTGGCTGCAGAAGCATGATGGTCAATCTGATGGACGTTGTTGGAAGTTGCACAATTAATATTATTCTATAACTGCACCGACGTGGACATAATTCCATCCCATCAACAATTCTGATAACCAGTCATTTGTCAAACACTACCGGTTTGTTGAGGATGTTCCGATCCGATCTCAAGAATCAGAATCAGAGCCAATCAAGGGGTTTTTAAAACGACTGCTATCGAACCAAAGCCCGATTAGTCTGCCGTCTCACTGGTGTCGTAAAGGGAAAGCACAACTTGTGAAGGCTGCAATTTTTAACGTTCTTCGCAATTAAAAATCTGCAGCATTACTAATCAATGATTAATTAACTAATAACACAAATTAGGCACAGTGGACATTGGTCCTGTGCTGTAATTGCAGTTTTTATTCATGAATGCGGCTCCGTCACATGCTGGTTAGGTTTCTACTTACAACAAGCAAACAGAAACGATGACACTGACCATCGAGGAAGGAAGGACTCAGAGGCAGGATGGATGGATGGCAGTGGGGTTGTTCCAAACAAGAGAAATAAAATAGAACTAAACAGGGCCTAAGTCGGCTCCTACTGTGAGGAAGGAAATGGAAAACAAAGGCCTGGCTAAATAGTGGAGAAACAAAACCTACAACGGCACCAACCCATAACCCAGTGGACTAGCAGTGTACTGGTACCCAGTCTTACCTCAGGTTTACTGTCCCACCACAAACCTTCCAAGCTGACAACAGGATCCAAATGGCAGCAAAGCAGGAGGGAGAACAGCGGAGCTAGAGGGCGTTTAAAGGGGTTTCCTCTGTCCTGATTGGCTGATTGGCCAGAGTGTGAGCCAATCCTCTGCTCTTCAGGAAGTGGAGACACAACAAACCTTCCACTCTGCACCTATCAGTGCCACTAGGACGTAGGCCAGCGTTGGGTGGAGGCCATCAAGCATCACACAAGTCTCTGTCGTGGTGCCCGTTGCCGTGGTACCCGCTACAGCGCTCACTGCTTGGACACTTGGAACTGCCTGTAGTCTGAGTGACTCATCTACACTATATTTTGTAACTTTACTGGACTTGACATGTGCATTATGGAGGACACTGGTATCAGATGAGGACTCTCTATTCGGAGACACTAAATATTAAATTAATCTGATCGGACTGGGAGGCAATAAAACTTGGTTGAGACGTCTCTACTTCTTATAGCTCTCAACCTGAGGTATTTACTTCTTCTGCCAGTTTAACAGAACGTCCTTTGAATCATCTGATCAGGAATGAGAGCTAGACCAGGGCCTGAATACACCCAGGAACACCACAAAGAGTCTAAAGGTGTTGACCCAGCCTCCATAAGTCCCCAGATCCCAAACCACAGGATCCACAGCCGATGTCCCAGTACCAGACACCCCAGGATGCCCCCCACTAGTCCTGTTTCCACACTCCGATCACTTCCAGCAGCGTGAGGGGCTGACCGGTATGTTTTCAGCCTGTTTGCCTCGAGGTCAGTTTCCTCCTCCTGGGGTTTGTGTGTCAAAATGCTGAATAGCCAAGAGGATCTACATGGACTCTAACCACCGTAATCACATCGTGAGTAATAATAATTGCAGATGAAAAATGTGCTTTTAAGATGAGGGAGAAAAAAAAAGCTGTTTTTCTTTTCAGAATGTGTTTGTGATTCAGATCGCTGCCCACTTTAAAGCCGGTGTGACAGACAGAGCAGGATTGGTTGCGGTTCAGTGCCGGACATGAAAGCATCGGACGGCGTTACTGGACGCAGCGAACGATAAATAATAGAAGAGAAAGCAAACAGCATTACAACCAGTTCAGGGCTCTCAGTGTGAGACGAGACGTAGCCTCAGAACCATGTACAGTATGAAGCAGATGTGAACAACTGACGACGGTGCAAAAAATCCCGACAAAATACGACATTACGTCTGTTTAAATGGACTGCTGGGGGTGTTAGAGGTGAGTTGGGAGACTGAGTGGTGCAAATGGGGCTTTAATGTCGTCCATGGTGGTGAAGGGGGGGTTGGCTGGTCGGGTGGAATCTGCAATCAGAACCGTGACTCTGCAGCTCGAAACACACGACCACGAGGCGATAGTTCTGGTTCTGTTGGGTTTAGTCTCTTCCTGTCACAGTGCAGGTTCTCTGGACTATTAATCCCATCAGTCCCCTGCATTAATAAAGCACCAGTGTGTGGTTTGTAGGACCATTTGCTTGTCACGTATTGTTTTGACGGTTGGTGAGTGGTGGAGATTCCCAGCCCTGGTCGCCTTGGTTACGCTGTTGTGTGTTTCCACCACAAAATGTTCTCTGGGGGTCAACTGGCTGGTTTACCCATGTTTAGGTTCTTTGGGCTCACACGGATCAGAGGTTCCTGCCTAAAGTAAACACCACGGCACAGTCGGCATAGCAGGCTAACCCACAGAATGACATCTCCACGTAAACCCATAAACGTATGTCACGGGAAATGATCGTGGAGATGCAAACCCATGCGTCATGTTTTCAGTTTCTGTGCAGATCGGAGGTGGGACTGCAGCTGTGCAGTTCAGGTTTGGTGGAGACGGCGATGACGAGTTGCTCTTTCGTTTTAACGTGGTGGGAACCGAAGCCGTAGAAGTTCCTTCCCCCGTGACGCCGTCATCTTCTTTATTCTTTATTTGGATCCCCATCAGCTTCCACAAGGTGGTTGCTCGTCTTTCTGGGGTCCAGTCACAAAACAACATCAAAAACACATCAATTTAAAATCACAGAATATCAGCGAGACAACATAATTTAATATCAACCCAAAGTTAAGAAAAGTGTTGAAAAAAAATCAAACATTGCTAAAAGAATTTCATCCATTAAACGTATAGAAACTGGATCTGGTTTCATTCTTATCTTAAGGATT